ATGAAATGCGAAATATCTAACACATATATCACATCATCGCTTATTGATGATGATTTTTGTCACTGTCCAGTTAAGAATTCTTTCTGGTGTGAAAGTGAACTTAAGAATTCTTCCTTGTGTAATAATGAACTCGATTCGAACGACTGGTGTGAAGATGAACGTGAATATTTTTTCTTTACTAAAAAGAATATTTTATTTCAAAGTGTTTGTGATGGATTTGTTGAGGTATTTCCAAAAAGAATTGAAGGAAAAATTGAAACCGATGAAACAGAATGTGAACAATGGTCATGCAATAACATTTAAACTTATTGTGATGGCATATGGGACTGTCCTCGTGGTGAAGATGAAATTGGTTGTTACTCATTTTCAAAATTAAATTGTTCTTTAGACCATCACCTATGTGTTTTACCCGATACAAATCGATTGGTATGTCTATCTATTGAGAAAATCAATGATGGTAAGATCGATTGTCTTGGTGCTACTGACGAGCCTACATTATGTCCAGGACAACATAACGTGTACTTTGACACAAACTTTTATTGCATACACGAAGGCAAGGGAAACTGCATTTCTAGGCTTCATCTATGTGATAACAAGAAAAATTGTGATCAAGAAGAGGATGAACAATTTTGTGTTAAAAATCGAAGTGTTCTCCTAGAAAAATATGTTTGTCACATGTCAATGCAATCTCATCTTTCTGATGTCGAAAAGTTTTTATGTAGAGTAGTACAAGTAAAGGTTAGACGAAAATTAAAATATTTTTCATTAGATGGCATTGATACAGAGAACAACAATGTGTTTCTCGGTAAAACAAACACTATACTTTCAAAATCAACTATCTTAGAAACTCCTCAAAAACATCAACATAAATGTCATCGTGGTCTTGACTTACGTGTCTGGTTAAATGATGAAAAAAACTTAACAACAAATACATGTTTATGTCCACCTAGTTATTATGGTGATCAATGTCAATATGAAAATCAACGAGTGAGTTTGACCATTAAATTTCAAGCATTATCAGATTCTTGGTCAACATTATTTGCAATAATTATTTCACTTATTGATGATAGTGAAGAAAGAATAATTCATTCATATGAACAATTTACTTATTTATCATCAAGAGATTGTAAAATTAAATTTAATATTTATTTACTTTATTTAACTCGACCAAAAGATTTAACCAAAAATTATCAAATACATATTGATATTTATGAAAAAATGTCATTAATTTATCGAGGAAGTTTATTATATCCAATAAAATTTTCATTTTTACCCGTTCAACGTCTAGCATATATAGCTGTTATTCCACGACATAATGAAAAACTTCAAAGTTGTTCAAATTCTCATTGTATTCATGGTAAATGTATTGTATATTACAATAATCCACAAAATAATACTTTTTGTCAATGTTATCCGGGATGGTCTGGACAATATTGTGCCATTCCATATACTTGTACATGTTCATCGGATTCAATATGTATTGGTGTATCTGCTTACAGTCGATCAATATGTATTTGTCCTATTAATAAATTTGGCTATCAATGTCTTATTGCTACAACAATTTGTCAAATGAATAATAATTTAATATGTCAACATGGTGGTCAATGTATTCCTGTTGATGAATATATGTCATCATCGAATAAAAAATTTTCATGTATTTGTCCAAAAGGTTATAGTGGAGATCGATGTGAAATAGTTGATAACAAAATAATTTTAACATTTGAAGATGATATTGTTTTATCTCAGTCAATATTTATTCATTTCATTAAAGTTATTGATAGCATTGATCCGATTAGAACGACTACTCTTCGAACAATTCCTCTAACACAAAATTCACTTACAATTTTTTGGTCACAACCATTTCATCTTGTTTTTATTGAATTTTATAATAAAATTTATTATTTAGCTATTATTCAAAAAATTCATCAACAATCAACAACGATTGTTAACAAGATTAAATTATCCGATCGTTGTCCACGTATAAGTGAATTATTCAATGAAACTTTTGTTCAATTAAATCTTATTCGTCGTATAAAATATTATCATTTACCATGTCAACAAAATTCATCAAAACTTCCATGTTTTTATGATGATACTCATATTTGTCTGTGTTATAATCATAGAAAACAACGTATAGCAAATTGTTTTGAATTTAATCATAATATGAAATTAGATTGTCTAAGCCAAAGTGTTTGTGAAAAAGATGGTCAATGTTTTCAAGATACTGAAGATTGTCCAGCAAGATCAATATGTATTTGTCGACCATGTTTTTTTGGAGTACGATGTCAATTTAGTTCAAATCGATTTAGTTTATCACTTGATGCTATCTTAGGTTATCATATTCAACCAAATATTAGTTTTTTAAATCAATTAACTATTGTTAAAATTAGTTTAGTATTAACAATAATATTTCTAATTGCAGGATTTATCAATGGAGTTTTATCTTCAATTACATTTAATAATAAAAAAATATGTGAAGTTGGTTGTGGTTTGTATTTATTAGGTTCATCAATAACAACTTTACTTACAACAATTTTATTTGGATTAAAATTTTTGATACTTCTTCTTGCTCAAATGGCAATTATAACAAATCGATTATTTTTACAAATTCAATGTTTATCTCTTGATTGTCTTTTACGAATTTGTCTTAATATGGATCAATGGTTAAATGCATGTGTAGCAATAGAACGTGTTGTTACAATAATAAAAGCTACCAATTTTCATAAGAAAAAAAGTAAACAAATAGCTAAAATAGTTATAGTTATTCTTGTAATATTTACTATCTGTACAGATATTTATGATCCATTTTATCGATATTTAATTGATGAAGATAATGAAGATGAGAAACGAATATGGTGTATTGCTACTTATCCATCTTCTTTACAAACATTTAGTTCTATTATGCATACATTTCACTTTTTGGCTCCATTTATAATTAATCTAATATCAGCGATTATTCTCATAACAAAAAGATCTCGTCAACAGTCAAATGTTCGAATACATGAAAATTATAAAGAAATTTTAAAACAACAAATTCAACAATATAAACATTTATTTACTACTCCCGTTCTTTTAGTTCTTCTTGGATTACCACATTTAATCATTTTATTTGTATCAAAATGTATGAAATCAACAAATG